CCCCTCCTCCTCCCCAAAGATCCGCCAATGATTTTGTAGCGATGCCTTGCCAAGTATGCTGGGAATTTGTCCCGCTGACGTTGTGCTGCTTCAACACGCACACGATGATTAGCACGGTTGCGTGCCCTTTCGCCTATCTCCTTATGCACTTTCATTTGTGCTCTCTTGTTTTGTTTATTTATTTCAGGTTCCGCCTCGCTGCTGCGTGTTTGAGGGGTGCGTGTGCGTGCGTGCGTGTTTGTGCGTGTGTAGGCGTGCGTGTGTTTGTGTGGTAGTAGTTGTGGTATTCGGGCACTAATACTGCACTGATAACGAATGGCATTCCCAAGGAATACTTCCAATGAAGTGCTTGTCAATTACTTGAAAAGTAAGTTGCCTGTTGTTGACAAGTGCGCTGAACGTGTTGATTTTGCCGTTTCTTTTTTTTTTCCTGCCTTTCTCTTCCTATTTTTTTTTTTGTTCTGCATATGAACCTGTGATTTTTCTCATGAAGCAGGGAGTTTGTTTTCGATTACAGCAAGAAACAGGAATGCTTTTTTTTGAGTTTTTTTGGATGAAATGCGGTAGTTTGAGCGATTTTTCATAAAAATGGAGCGAAATATGCTCCTCTTCCCGATGAGAGGACGAAGTATAAATACCTTTTTACGGTTGCCCTTTTACCGATGACAAGACAAAGTAGGCTGTCCTTCTCGATGATAGGCAGTAGTTGAGGCGACTTTTCACAAAGACAGAACAGCGTACAGATGCTTTTTCCTGGTAACTGGGCTAAGTATGGAAGCCTTTTCCCGATGACAGGACGAAGCACGGATGTCTTTGTCCCAGTAAACAGGCAGAATCTAGGCAGGACAACGTACGAATGGTTTTTTTTTTTTTCAGGTGACAGGTTGGAAGGGGTGGTCGTTCCTAGTGACGTTTGGTTTCCTTAGTGCTAACGCGAAACAGGGATCAGCTTTTTTCAGTGGGAGGGCGAAGCTGTTCCACTCTCAGGACTAAGTCTCATTCCCGAGTGCTGACGTAACCGGTCGAAATTGAAGTCATTCATTTTTACTGGTTTGTTTTGGATTGATGAACTTCCTAATGGCTGACTGAAAAGTCACCCCAGCTACTGCCTGTCATCGAGAAGTGCAGCCTACTTTGTCTTGTCACCGGGAAAAGGGCATCTGTAACAAGGCATTTGCACTTCATCGGGAAAAGGAGCATATTCTGGTACTTTCTAATGGCTGACTGTCTGCGACCTGTTGCTAGAATTGCTTCGTCGATTTGTTTCGTTGCAGATTATGAAGCAGTAACAGGAGTAGCACTGTTGCAGGGGCCGGGAATCTGAGTGATGACCGTGTTCGAGACGTCATGCTTGCCGTCGACCGCGCTGACTTCTCTGTGCAGAATCCGTACGAGGACTGTCCGCAGCCGATAGGCTTTAATGCAACCATTAGCGCCCCGCATATGGTAAGCGTTGTCGGTTGTGCTGCCCTCTGTTGTGCAAGTACAGAACTCGTGAGCGATTGAAGCCTGGCGGTGGTTGCTGACCACTGGGACTTGACAAATCTCTTCTTAGCCTCTTGAAAATGGATTATTGAAAAAAAAAAGCCTTCATGGAGCACTGCACTGCTGCGGGTCTTTTAGGTCTTTATTCGTTCATTTAATTGTTATGCGTTTTTTGCAGCAATGCAATGCAAAAAACGCATATTGACGAGAGGTTGTCTGTATGTGTGTGTTTGTGTGTGTGTCTGTGTGTGCGCTGGGCCTGTGTACCGGATTTTCATCTCGAGACCGGCAAAAGCTACGGGGCTGAAACTTTGGGGGCTTAATCTACATGCACGTA